AACTCTGAACTCTTAGTTACTCTTGAAATCGCATATTTAATTAGTTTCCCTTGACAATGGCGCCAAGATGTCGCCGAAACGTCAGATTTGTCTATCATTAGTTTTTGCCTGTATATGTTTATCTAAATCATTGTTGATGTAAAAAATTGCACGAATATATGAGCCAAAGTTTTTGTTACTCTTTATGCGAATTGCTGTGCTAATTGTTATTATAATTTCAACCCACGTGGTATTTTTGAGAAAATGACGTCATTTTCTTAAATTCTCAACCAAGACTTGGAACAAGGAAGATTAATGGTGGCCGTAAATTCTCGGAAATAAAGGTCCAAACGACATGAGTTCTAATGTTCATAATAGACTGAAAATACAAGAAATGGGTATGGAGAATTTGATCATAGTGGCACTTTAAGCCGTCTTACAAGGTTTGACACTAATTTTCTCAAGAATGCTTGAGAAAGTAATCGCAGGGTACAGAAATGAATTAAAAAGAGATATTTCAAACAGCATTCAAAACGTTACCATGCTATGAGCAGATTTTTAGTCAATAATTTTTGCACTTATTGCTCGAACTTTGAGCGGAATCCGTCTTAATTTGTATTGTTATAATAAATATAATAAATAACAAGGTATTTCTTTCTGTCATACTAAATGGTAGTTTTCTAATATTTTTAGTCAACCACCTTACACCAGGATCGGTTGCGATTACAGACCCTTGGCATCTGATTCTGATCTATGTGGCATTAAGGTTTTTACAAGGAGGTGGAACTGGGGGCATTGGCTTGCTAAATAACCTAAAGGCCTTCTTATGGATCAAAGTTCAACAATTCACTAGCCGAACTCTCCAAGTGCAACTTTTTGCTCATCTTCACAGGTCAGACAAGTTTGATGCAAACATTAAAACTGCTCCTGCCACCAGAAATGTTTCCCTGTAGTTATTAATTTGCATTACTGATGGTTGAGGGTCAGAAATAAGATTAATTCAAACACAGAAAATTGCTTTATCACAGGGTTACCACAGGGTCAGGAAATGGTCAGGGAGAAAAATTCTTCCAGGTCTGGGAAAAGTTGAAACCTTATCAGTAATGAATTGGTGGACAGGACAGCTCTAGTGGGGGCAGCATGGCTGAGAAGTTAGGGCGCCAGACTTGAAATTTGCCGGTTGTGGGTTCAAGTCTTGCTCTGACCACTAAGCTGGAGTTGTTTCTTGGTAGACCTCAGTTCAACTCCTTGGTCATGCTTGTAAATAGCCAACTGGTCTGCCTCCCACCAGTTGGGATTGTTAAGCCTGTTATGTTTATTTGCAATATTTGTTTCTTTCAGTTATTTAACAAGTGGCATGCCTGAAAACTAGCTAGTTGCAGCTGAGTGCATCAACCACTATAAACATTCAAAGTTTAACATTTACTGCGCCTTTCAATAACATGCAGACTTCAAAATTCAAAGCTCAACCGACAAATGCATTTCTCGCTACCGTCAATCAAATGTTTGGCGGCTCCTCCCAGCTTCCAACAACTGCTGAGCGCGAGATAATCCAATCGCTGAGCACAGTTCAGACAACGAGGCAGTGCTTTGCAGTAGTCAGAAGCTGGGAGGAGCCACCGCACATTTGATTGGCAGTAGCAAAAAAACACATTTGTCATTTGAGCTTTGAATTTTAGAGTCTGCATGCCATTGAAAGGTGCAGTAACCTTTAAGGGGAGGCTAGAAGCTTATTTATTACAATTTACTCCATACAATACGAATACATTATGAAAAATTAAGATAACTAACTAAAAACAAACAAACAAACAAAAAGCAGTCACTGCCACTGTATCTGACATTTTATATTAATTTTGTCAGGGAATTTTTTATTTTTATCAGGAAAAAGTCAGGGAATAATCAGGGAATTTTAAAAACATGATGTCTGTGGTCACCATGTATCAGCATCAAGGCTGGGTGGCTTGAGGTTGAACGGTGACCTATGGACTGCCCAGAGCTACATTGAAGTACAGGTTTATCAGTTAGAGAATCACACTGTGCAATACTTAGAAGTAACATAGAAAAGAATGGATTGGATTGAAATGAACCACGAAAATGAATTTAGTTTGCATTTCAAACTTTTAGTACCCTTTGCATGCATTGGATGATGTGACTGCCTTGAATTGCTGATATTATTAACTGGTTGTCTTGAACCTGATCTTTCAGTCTGTCACTCAGCTGGCATCTGAATCGTAAAACTGGAGAAGTGATCAGAATGGTGGATCGAGGCGCCAACAGTATTTATAACTTGCTTAAGTATGTACAGTAAGATGCTGTAAACTGATCAATTTAAAGTAAATTTGGAAGCTGATAAAACATCAGAAGGGATGCTATACAATATTCAAAATTGATTTACCAGTATTAGTTTGATATTATTGTTAAAGTGCACCTAACCCCAAAAATTTTTTTTCGCTAGAACGAATCTACTTATTATTTGAAATAGTTCTGCGAAAAAATTTTTGAATTCCGTTAAA